ACAAATTTCTTGCCAAACCCAGCATTATTCCAAATTTTTTTAATCCTAGTTACCAAGCAAAAGTTATCAGGATCTGTACAAATACCATTTTCACAAACAAGATCCTTGGATTTCGATTTCAACTTGCAACCAACAGTAGAAGTGGGTTTGTATTTTACTTGTGACTCGCAAAGGATAAATTGATAGTATCTTAGAATATCACCATTAGATGGAAACTTTCTCTGAGGTAAATCCCTCAGTGGGTACTTCAATAGGTAAATATACCTCAACCTTTCTGTATTTTTCCATTTTTTCTTATTCTGTCCTATCATCATCTTTTTTTTAGTTGTTCTACCCATTTTTATATGAATTTCGAAATAATCAGTTTTTTAACTAAGTTTATACTAAGTTTTACACTTGCACTAAAAATCTATGAAGTTGTTATTCCCTCTCGTATCATACTTTATCTAAGTTTACCGTTAAGGCTTTTATAACTGTTTACACAAGAATTTCTTTGTGCACAAATTAGAGTTCCTTCGTGCACAAATAATTCCATTTAGAAATTTTTTCCCTTCAAAAAGAATTTCTAAATGGAGTTATTTGTGAACCAATCCATGAGGAATTACACCAACTAATAATATTGTTCAGAGGGAATTATATCAATCATTAACAATGTTCATAGGGAATGATTCTATTTTTTAATAATGTCCTATGGGAATTATTTGTGTACCAATTATTACATCATATTAAAACCTATTGAAATACTAGATAGCGCTTTTTTTATGTAAATACACATGTGTACTATACCGTAAAACTCAGAATTTACATCTATCACTTCTAGTCATTAAAAAATAAAAATAAAAATTTTGGTAACTATTTAGGACCTATAGAATGGGGATCAGTGGAGAGCACATTGAAATTTTTTAAAAAGTATGTTTTTGGGACACCCTAATCTGTAATGTCTGGCTATAAAGCTGGTGTTCAAACTAAAATGTAAAATAAAAACCCCAGTATTGTATATACCCAGTGCATGGCGCATAGATGAATTTTCTGTGTTAGACTCAATAAAGTTTGATATTTATTTAAAGAAGTTTGATAACAGCATCAATAGTTAGTTTCGTTTTTACTATTATTCATCGCAGTGAAGAAAGGAACTGAAAGAAATTTTTTTAGATGAAGAGTTTAAACAGCTTGGCAGATTGAAAAATATTAACCGGGAAAGGGTGTTAAGATTGCTTGAGATTGACTATTTATTATTGACTAGTTATTATTTATGATTTAGAAGGCAAGGCAAATGAGAAAGACAAAAGTTGAACAGAAAGCTAATAGATTTTTGTGTTTCATGAAAGATACACAGTTTTTATTTTATTTGCATTTTATTCAAGATATTGTTAAATCATTAACAACATTGTCATTGAAGTTTCAAAAAGAAGAAATTTTAATTTGTAAGATTTTGCGTAAAGTTGATGCAAGAATTGCTGTACTAGACATGTTATTAGTAATTCCAAGATTGAATATTGGACGCTTACTAGATAATTTAGAAGTAAAAGAAGATCAGTTAATCTACAAAGGTATTGATTCAACACCATTAAAAATGCATAATTTAAAGAGAATTGATGGGATTGTAAGACAACAACCAAATGATTATTTTGATTATTTTTATAAAAAATATTTTATTAAAATTATTGTTGGAGCAAAAGAATAATATATAGACAAACATTTCCGCTGCGATTTCAATCAAGAACCATTAAAATCTTTAACCACAATTTTTGATTGTTGAAACTGGCCATAATCCTTTACAGTTTTGCTTGTGACAAAAAATGGGGATTTAATGAAATAAAAAGTGTTTGCATCTATTATGAGCATGATAATATGATAAGCAGAGAAACTTCTAACTTATGTGTATTGCAGTGGCATTTATTCAGGGAGCAAGTCTCTAAACTAAGGACAAATTCACTGTTGAGCATCTATAGAGGTATCTTGTTGGAAAATGAACCTGAATTGGCAAGTGTAAATGTCTTGTTATAGATTATGCTAACTTTCAGTGTTTCAACCGCAAATTGCTAACAATGCGTTTTTGTACCTGGTCTAAAAGTGAAAGAGAATCATTCAAAGATCTGCTCCAGGTATGGCCACAGTATTCCATAGAAGGATGGATTTGAGACTTATAAAGATAAAGAGTAGAATCCAGAGTAAGAATATGGCAAGCACGATAAAGTGATGCAACCTTAACAGATAATAATTTTGCAATCGATTTGATATATGGTTTCGAAGAAAGATAAGAAGTAAGAGTTAATCCTAGAAGACAAAAGATTGATGACTCATCAAGTGCATTACCGCTCATAAATATAAGAAGATTTAGATTATTGCGATAACGATTAGCTAAAAAAAAATTATTACTATCTGAGTTAAAGTTGACTAGCTACTGAGTGCCCCCATGCTGCACTATGCGTCGCAAAGCGGAAATAGGATTTTACTTACTTTTCTGAAGAAAAAAAAATTTAATATTTCGAATATTTTTTAACTGAAACAAGTTAGCATTTGTTAATAAAAAAATATTTATTTCAAATTTTTTTAAATTTGCTTTTTTAAGTGCGGGATTTTCAGGGATAAAAAAACCCAGGTTTTCACTAAATCTTTATGTTACATGCAATAATTTCCGAATTTCCTCAATTTTTTTTGCATATTATCAAATAATAAATTTTGTAAATTAAAAACCAAGAAAAGAAAAAAAAATGTTTAAATCATTGTTTTTGTGTTTCCCTAAAGATTGGGACACACAAAAACAATGATTTAGACCATGTTACTACAGAGGTAGCCATTTTTTTATTTTTTATAAATTTTCTACAATAAATAGACTTTTTAAAAGTAAAATAATATTCTGGCTACCTCTGTAGTATCATGGTATAAAATCAATTCATTGTAGGGGGTTTTATTAAAAACTGGTTAGTTAATAACAACACTAGTTGCGGATTGGTACAATTGTTCCTAGTATAACTTCTAAGTAAAGCGTACTTTAATGTTTTATAATGGTTACTTTTAATGTCAGCAAACTTTTGTTTGATGATTTTCTTCTAGGCATATTTTCACAAGGCATATTTCCACAAGTAAAAATGTATTTGCATGTGCTTTTATTTTTGCAGTCGTTTTTATCACTTTATGCTGGTTACACACAGGGAGTTACGCCGTTTTTAAAAGTCTGCTTTTTTATTTAATAAAAATTTGTGGAAAAAAAATGTTGTTTCTAACTAACTTTAGAAACTTTCTATAACAACTACTATATAAAGGATTAGAAAAAGATCATTAAATATAGATTAGGACATATATGGAGGCAGAGCAAATTGCAAACAAAGATAGCAAAACTGCACGAGTTAGTCATGCATGTCTAACTTTCTTGGCAGAAAACACATGGGATACAGTTAATTATTTGTTTGTGACTTTTGATATGTACCTCTATTAAGTTTTTTTGTGTGAATGTTTTGACATGGTTTGTTGATTAGACAATTTTTCTTAGACTATTTTTGTTAATTTTTTTTTGGTAAAGAAATCTCAATATATTTTTCATAACACTTCAAAGTTTTGTTGTTTTTTGTTTTAAAAAATATTTTAGAAATAATAAATTTTAACTAGTAGTTAACTAATCTAGAAAGATGTATATCGTAAACTAAATTTCTAAAAAAGTTTTTTTAGATCCTCTGGAGGGTATTGTAGCTTTAACAAAATAAAATATTTAAAATCCTCCAGAGGATTTTAAATATTTTATTTTGAAGTGGTTTTATTTTTTTGAGCAAATATTATTGTTTATTTATAGTTACATTATGTTAGTTATAGTTTGTTTAAGTAGTGACAGTCAAGTGTACTTGACTGTTCACTACTAGTGTACTGCTTAGCTTAAATAGCTTAAATAGGTATAGTGGAGTGCACATACATTGACTAAGGGTTTGGGCTTTTTTTAAACAAAAGAAAAATATTTAAATATTTACTTAAACAGTGTTTGTAGCTTAATTTAATTTATTAAAAAAATACTAAAAATACTAATTTTTAGGTGAAACAGTCAAATTAATTAATAACTTATGTTTAATTATGCTTGTACAAATAAAAAAAATTACAAATAACACATAACGTAAAAGAAATTGTTAATGAAATTGTAATTAATTTATAGGAATTTTAATTAGTTGAAATGCCTCAGTTGTTTAAAAACTACTAAAAAATGTGAAAAAAAAGTGTGTAGTGAAAATAAACTACTAGAAGAAAAAACTACTAGAAAAAGTCATTTAATTAATAATTAAAAAAAAAGAAAATTATAAGTAAAGTATATATATATATATATATATATATATATATATATATATATATATATATATATATATATATATATATATATATATATATATATATATATATATATATATATATATATATATATAACTTTTCTATAAAATAATAATTAAAAATTAAAGAAAACAAAAAAGTTTTCATCAACATAGAAATTTTACGTTTTTCATAGTTTATAATAAAATAAACCATTAGCCATAAAATGTAAACTTAGTTTTTTTTAAATAATTTAGAAGACCGGAAAATGTTTCAAAACTTTAATAAATTTTTTTTTTAATTTATAGATTGCCTTTCCAAACCAAAACGCTCAGTTGATGTAGCAACACTCCTCGCATGTTTTACCAATTTGTCAGTCGACATGTAAATAAAAAAACAATAAAAAAAAACATTCAGAATGTTTTTATTTTTGTTAAAAAATGAAAACATTCTAAATTTTTTTAAAAAACATTCCAGTCTAAATTTGTTGTGTTTTTTTTGTTTTGTTTTTTAATTTAATTTGTTTCCTCAATTAAGTTTAATGGTTTTGACATAAAGTGAGTTGTTAAGAGCCAGTTATTAAATAAAATATATTAAAAAAAAATAAAAAAAAAATTAATGTAATAAATGTCTTTGTCTCTATTGTAGCTGCCTAAACTCATACCCTTATTTATTTGTTTTGGAAACATACTTTTGATTTAAATATTTAGTTTTGAGAAAGTGCAGCCAGTTCCTTCATGGGCTGAATTAAATGATGAAAAATATTTGGAGAATGAAGAAAGTAACGACGATGATTATTGTAAGTTTATTTTTTTTTTCACTTTTTGTCAGTTTAACTATATAATGTAGTTTCTTATCTGGGTTTAATTTATGTATGTAATGTACTAAAAAACTCAACTAATATAAAAATAAAAAAAAAAACAAATAAATGTTAATCTGAAATTGATGGATTAAAAAAATTTCATTAAAATTGTCCAAAATTGTCAGCATATACATACAATCTTTGTAAAATGAAAAATAATTTTGTTTTTTTGCAAAGTTTTTTATTCATCTTCTGAATTTTCATTTCTTACTTCCTTTAAGGTATTATTTAATTAAAAAAATTGTATTTTTTTAATTCAATTCCATAATTTTGTTTATTTAAAAATTTTTTAAAACTTTGAAATTTTTTATTTTTATCAATGCTGCAAAACTTTTTCAAAATTATTTTTTAATATTTGACCATGTTAACATCTTTATAAACTTTAATATTATTAAAGTATTCTTCTGCACAAGGTGCAGTTCTAAGGTATTGAGTTATCAATGTACAGTTATAAGGTATCGAGCTATCAATGTACAATTATAAACTATTTTCTAGTCATCATCCAGATGTTAATAACGGTTGCTTTACTGTGAAAAAACCCAGATCTTCATATTGTATTCATTTATTATTATATTAATTAGTATATATGGGTATCAGTTAAAGCAATGATCTGAAAAACACGTTTTAATCATAAAGTATAACTAGAAAATGATGTAAAAAAGTCAAAACACAAAAGAAAAAATATGTTGGCACAAAATAATTTTAATAATTATGCTTATTTGTTAGAAAGCAGAATAAAATGTCCCAAAAATGATTCCGGAGTTTTATCCTTAGTTAAGAGAATTTTTTTTTTTAAGTATCAAATTCGAGCAGATCTTTGCTGAAAAAGTCTGAGAAGCTTTCAAAAGGGTTTATAGACATTGTTCGTGTAAAAGATCTTAATTCAACTCAACCATCAAATGCTTGTATAACCTCTTTGCAATTCCATCCGACTGCTAAAATTGCTTTCACATCCTCATTAAACAAAAGATTAAATATGTTTCAGGTATATTAATTTGTAAATTGTTGTTTTTATTGGTTTGTATATTGATTCATTTAATAAAATTTCTTAATATTTTTTAAAGTTTATATAATTCTTTTGATTTTACTATTAAAACTTATAAAATGTAAGGCATGTTTTTTTTTAGAAAAAAAAATGCTATGCTTATAAGTATATTTTTTTGTTTAGGTTGATGGTAGGGAGAACGCTTCATTGCAAAGCATATTTATTGATAATTTTCCTATATACTGTGCACGTTTTATAAGCAATGGAAATAGAATTGTGCTATCTTCAAGACGAAAGTTCTTTTATAATTATGATTTGAACAGTGGTCAGGTTTTGAAAATTCCAGAACTAAGAGGTTTTTATATTTTATTTATATCAGTTCTTTTTAATTTTCCTATCAATTCAATATATATATATATATATATATATATATATATATATATATATATTATATATATATATATATATATATATATATATATATATATATTTATATATATATATATATATATATATATATATATGTATGTATATATATATATATATATATATATATATATATATATATATATATATATATATATATATATATATATATATATATATATATATATATACAACCCTCGGAATTAGGAAAATTGAGGTCGGCAATAACTTGCTGACCTCAATCTTTTAGAGGTCAGCATCAGGTTGGCAAATACAAAGATCTTACCATAAATCATCGAAACAAGGTCGGCAAAACCGAATTTTTTTTTGCCGACTGCAAACACGTTTAGGTCGGTAATGCTGACCCTAATTCCGATGGTGGTATATATATATATATATATATATATATATATATATATATATATATATATATATATATATATATATATATATATATATATATATATATATATATATATATATATATATATATCTATATATATATATATATATATATATATATATATTTTTTTTTTTTTTTTATTATACTTCACTTCCTCAAGGCCGAGAAGGCCACTACAGACGAGGAGGCTACTTATTTTTGTGGCTATAACCCTCTCTCAACTCTATAACTCCGAAACACGAACCTTGACGAACAAGGCCGCTGCGCAAAGAAACAAGTATATATATATATATATATATATATATATATATATATATATAATATATAAATATTTATTCACATAAATATTTATTCTATATTAGAATAAATATTTATGTGAAGTTCTATTTTAATTTTTAATCTTATATTCACCATAAATGATTCATTTCATTAGATCAATTTGTAAAATTTTTTGGAAAGGTAATATTGGAATAGTTAAGATACAATTCAGGATAAATTAAAATAATGGTCAGAAAATCTGACCATTTTTTATGAAAATTTTTTTGAAAATTTAACCATTTTTTACCAATTTTTATGAAAATCTTATTTTAACAAATTTTTGGCCAAAACATAATTGTATTAAAAATATTTTTATTCAATGTGTAAATAGTTTGTTTTTTTTTAATCACTTTTTTCTTTTTTTAAGCAAACAGAAGAGAAAAGCACTTTTTTTTTCATTAATCAAAATAAGTTATTACTTTATTTTTTCTGCAAACAGAATAATGTAGCATATTTTTTTTTTTTTTATTATTATTATTTGCGAACAGAAAAGGATATCATCTTTTTTTTATTATTATTGCAATCAAAGTAAAGTAGCAGTTTCTTTTTTGCAAACAGAATAAAGTATCACTTTTTATTGTAAACAGAATAAATTGTCAATTTTTTTTTGTAAATAGAATTGGGTAGCACTTTTTTTTGCAAATGGAAAAGAGTTTTTTTTCTGTAAGCAAATGATACCACTTTTTTTTCTGTAAGCAAATGATACCACTTTTTTTTCTGTAAGCAAATGATAACACTTTTTTTTCTCTATGCAAATGATACCACTTTTTTTTCTGTAAGCAAATGATACCACTTTTTTTTTAGTAGAATAGGACTTTTTTTTTTTCTAACAGAAATTACTTTTTAGAATAATACTTTTTAGGATAGCATTTTTTGCCTCAACCAATTATTAGAAAATTTTTTTTATTTTTTTATTTTACCAAGTTATTTAAGGTTTTGTTTCATTGATATTTTTAGGAAGGGAAGATTTGAGTTTAGAAAACTTTGAAGTTTCCCCTGATGGGGAGATAATTGCTTTTCTTGGAGAAAGTGGTTACATTAATATGGTTTCATCTAAGGTGAGATATATATACATATATATATATATATATATATATATATATATATATATATATATATATATATATATATATATATATATATATATATATATATATATATATATATATATATATATATATATATATATATATAAAATAGTGGTCAAACAAATAAACACTGCATATAAAATATTGTTTTCTTTTATTGCTACTATTAAGTAAGATACACTAAATTTAAGTTTAAAATTTTTAGCACTAGAGGGCTTTCAAAAAATCAGCAGTAGTAGTTTTCAAAGGCCTCTTGTACTAAAAAATATTAAACTTAAATTTAGCGTACCTTACTTAATATTAACAATAAAATAAATAAATATTTTATATACAGTGTTTATTTGTTTGACCACTACTTTATTTATATTGGTTACTAACATATTTCAAATTATATATATGCAGTGAAGAACCCAGACATGTTTTAGTACCGTTTTACCGGTATGAGCGCCCAAAAAAAAGCGCCCAAAAATTAAGTAATTTGCCTTCGTTTATTAACTGGACATAACTTTTAAAAAAATGAAAGTCGTTAAGAAACTTAATTTTAAAATTTTATAACAATCAAATATATATAAGATTTGAAGATTTGCTTTTTTGAAAGTTAAAGCGTTTTTAAATATCCATTCAGCGTAAGGTTAATTTTTCTTTTTGGCAATTAAGAGTAAACTGCTTTTAATAATAAATGAACAAAAGTAAAAAAAATCAGTTCTTATAACTATCGCGCAAATTTAATTTTTAAATGAATGAACTTTTGATCTTTAGCTTGCTATTTTAGTTTACGTAAAGAAAAGGAAAAAACGAAGTATAATCTTTTTCAGACAGTTTTTTTTCCTTTCAATATTCTTTTTAAAATAATAAAAAAAAAAAGGTTTTAATAACTTAATAAAAGTTTTATTTAGATCTGTTTAAAATAACCCATAGTAAATTTAATTTATTTATTCAAATGTAATTTTTTAGATTATTCTTAATAATTAAAAATATATTTTGTTTTAAATACGTTTTAAAAAATATAATATGGTTTTTAATTAAAATAATAAAATATTTTTTAAATAATGTTTATTGTAATTATCTCCTTAATTGTCTTTAATTTAAAAAGCGCCTTAAAATCACTTTATAAATTATAACTTTTAGTAAAAGTTAAATTTTAACAATTTTACTAATATTTAAATCAAAATTTTAAATTTAAAATAATTGAAAATAAGTTTATTAAATGCTTATGTTTTTAATTCAAATACAAGAACGTAAAACTATTTTGTTGATTTTACAAATATTACGCGATATAATATATGTAAATATATATGTAAATATATTAATGTAATGTAAATATATTAATGTAATGTAAATATTGATTAAAAATTGTTTAAAATATTTTTATTATTTTAAATTAAATTTACTAAAATATAGTTAATAACTGTTTAAAATACTTTAAACAATTTTCAATAATTATTTACTAATAGCGTGGTATATGCAACAAAAACGTTTATTAAAATCTTAGGTAAAATAGTTTTCTTTCAGCTAAAGTAACCAGTCCACCAGTAAATTCATGTATTCAAAAAATGCCTTTAATTCACAACCTTTTTATAGGATAAAACTGAACAAGATAAACATAAATGGTTATTAAGAAAATGATGATTAAAAGTTATTGTTGCAGCACCCGTTGAACTAGAGGAGAATGAGGGGGAGGGGGAAATCAAAAACATAATCCCCTCCCCCTCCTCCTCCTCAACGTTGCTGAAAAAAAACGGTATCCCCAAATAAACTCTGGGTTCTTCACTGATATGTATATATATATATATATATATATATATATATATATATATATATATATATATATATATATATATATATATATATATATATATATATATATATATATATATATATATATATTTATATATATATATATATATATATATATATATATATATATATATATATATATATATATATATATATATATATATATATATATATATACATACATATATATATATATATTTATTTATTTATATTTATATTGATATGAAGGCTCCCTCAATTTTAATGTGCTTAATTCAGTTTCAAATATTCTTTATCTAGACAAGTCAGTATATGTACAGTCTTAAGATGAATGGAAAAGTTCTTTCTGCTGGTTTTTCATCAGATTCATCAAAGCTTTATACAACAGGAAGTATGCTTATCATTGTTAAGCATTAAACACAGTTTTTTATGATAAATTTTTTTATAATATTTTTATTTTAAGGAGATGGTGAGGTTTATGTATGGGATTTAAAAAGTCGCAGATGTCAACAAAAATTTGTTGATGATGGTTCAACAAAAAGCACAAGTCTATCTGTCTCAAATAATGGTGCATATATTGCTGTTGGGTGAGTAATTTTTTTATTCTTTAAGTAATTTAGGGGGAAATTTTAACTTTTAGGACAAAATAGAAATAATTTAAAAAAGCTAAATAGATCTTTTCTGCAGTTAAAGCATGCCTTTGTACATTGTGATGTATTCTAAAGTATATTTGATTGCTTGGTCAACCTGAGAAAAATTAAAAAAAGTTACTTGAGTTAATAATGAGTTATAACAAAATTTTGTTGTTTATTAATGCTAAGTTTTTTGTTGTTGTTTATAAAGGTGCTCACAGAAGTCCTTACACTCTTATTACAGAGCACCTTCTAAGAACATTTTACTAGGAAGTTCACACCTTCTTCCTTACTAATGTTGCTTATTGGGCTAATGCCAGCCCAATGAGACAGACCTCTTGGTTCTGAGTCAGAACTCTTACAACTGCCCCACAGTTGCACAACACCTTTTTTTTTACTTCCTATTAAACTTAGATGCTAACAAAATTTGTTATTTGTTCATGTTAAGTTTGTCTCCTTTACCAAATAAATTTACTTGCTTTGTCAAAATTTTTTTTAATATGTATTAGATTGGAAACAATCATTTTAAAGAGCAGTTATGTGGTTAATTTTGTAAGAAGCTTTATTTATCGGAATAAAACTTTGGATCTATTTAATTCGAAATTATTTTCTTAATCTGAGAAGTCTCAATAATCTAAAAAATAAGTTTATTGAAAATTATTTATTTTTAATTAATAATTATTTAAAATAAAAAGTTATGAATATTTTTTTCAACTGTTGTTTTTGAATTTAAACATGTTAATAGAAGTTTTACATATCTGATTTGCAAGAGCTTCTTCAAAATAATATCTGATTTGCTCTTGTGACATAATATCTGACTTGCAAGAACTCTGGCAATAACGTTAGAACAAAAAAATTTTTTTTGCTTTACAACAAAGCAACAGCTGTTAAAATATGGTTTACTTTTTTTTTGATAAATAAAATAACAACAACAACAAAAGTTTTTCATTTTTATTTAATTAAATTGTTTATACAATATGTTCATATGAATATGTTCATATGAATATGTTCATATGAATATGTTCATATGAATATGTTCATGTGAATATGTTCATATGATATGTTCATATGATTTGTTCATATGATATGTTCATATGAATTGTTCATATGATATGTTCATATGATATGTTCATATGAATTGTTAATATAATATGTTCATATGATATATTCATAAGAATTGTTAATATATGTTCATATGAATTGTTCATATGATATATTCTCATAAATTGTTCATACGATATGGTCATATGATATGTTCTCATAAATTGTTCATATGATATGGTCATAAGAATTGTTCATATGAGTTGTTCGTATAGTATGTTGATATGAATTGTTCATATGATATGCTAAAAAGAATCGCTCATATGATATGCTCATATGTAAACCTTTATTAAATTTTGTTTAGAATAACTTACAATTTTTAAAATTTCATCCAACTAAGAGGAGTGTAATTATATGTGAGTTAAAATTTCATTCAACTTAAAGGAGTGTAATTATAGATGCGTTTTAGTTATAAATTTTACAAAGTATTTATTTAATTTTATTAAAGCTATACTGATCAAATATTTTAGTTCAAACTCTGGCGTTGTGAATGTATACAATGGTACAGGCTCTATTGAGAGAAACCCTTCTCCATTAAAAGCAGTACTGAATCTTACCACAAAAATTGATCGCATATTATTTAACCCTACTAGGTATGAAATATTATGATTGTTTTTATGATGATGTCATAACCCAGTAAACACAAGACTTGTTTGACACTTCTAAAAAATATTTGAAATATGTTTTAATATGTTTTAATAGACATCTAAAACACATCTTGTGATTACTGGAAAATATGTAAACTATCGATTTTGTGAAACTCTTAAATCTTTATTATTACTGTTTTTAAAAAACAAAAACTGTTTTGATGAAACAACTGCCGACAAAAAAGGTTTTGTTGAAACAACTACTCAAAAAATGTTTTGATGAAACAATCTCAAACAAAATTGTTTGAAATAATAGAAATGCTTAGCACATACTTTAATAGATAGTTGAATAAATTAATATTCTTTTTTATAATTTTATTAATAAACGTTATTGGAGTCCATTTTCAAACTAATGACTCTAAAACACAAACCAATGACTCTGAAACACAAACCAATGACTTTGAAGCACAAAACAATTACTCTGAAACACAAACCAATGACTCTAAAACACAAACCAATGACTCTAAAACACAAACCAATGACTTTGAAACACAAACCAATTACTCTGAAACCTAAGCATTCCTTGTAGTTCCACAGAGAAACAAATAGAGTATTTGCTTTGTATTACCAGGACAGTAACTTCATATCTCCTGCTTTGAAAAAGAGTAGTAATAAATCTTTGCTTTGATGCACATATTTTTCACTTTTAGAATGTTTATAAATTGTCACACAATTTTTGAATGTTTTGACTCCCCCTTGTCACAACATTGTTACACTTTATTAATAAGTCCTGTATGATTCTTCACAAAATTATTAAATATTAAATTAACTTTTTTTTGGTTTTATTAATTTAAATGTTAATAAACATTTAAATTTAAATATTTATTAAAAAGTTTAAATATTTAAATACATTTACTTATAACTTTATTATAGATTTTTTTTTTTTAATTTAAATGTGATTAATTTAATTTAAATGTGATTAATGCAAATAAAATTTTTTTAAATTTTATAGTGAAATTCTAACATTCTCGTCGCCTCAATCCAGAAATGCACTTAGAATGGTTACTTATGTTTTTAATTTAACAACTGTTATTTATTTTTAAACAAATTTATATAAAAAACAAGGTTTCACTGAATTTTTTTAAAATGACTAATTTAGGTTCATTTATCTTCAAATAATTTAGGTTCATTTACCTTCATTAACAACCTTTTCAAATTGGCCAACTGAAAAGCAGACTCTAGGAAGAATCAGCTGCATGAATTTTTCGCCACTCTCTGGGTACTTCGGAATAGGAAATGAAATGGGGAAAGCTTTGTTGTTCAGGTTGTTTTATTTTTTATGAATAGGTTAATTTTATAGTAGTGTTTATGGCATACATTACCTATAGAATACATAGCTTAAAGGATATGATGTTATATACATCACATATATATATATGTTATGTAGAAAACTTTTGGTCTACACTGGTCACTAGATTGGTGTACACTAGTAACTAGATGTTGAATTAAGTTTAAGCACAATTTCTCTACCATTCAACCTGCATTGATGCCAAATTGTTTAGTAAAATTTTGCATAAAAACTCCAAAGGTAAACTCAACATTGACCTAACTCCAAGGTAAGCTGTGAAGCTATGTACTTAAATACACTATGTACAGCTTGTCAAATAGCTCATACAGAGTGCAGGACATTGTCTTCATATTTTTTATTTATAATATATTTTGATTTTATCACACTATTTTTTTGCCACAAAACATATGGAATGCAAGAACTATTAGTTATATAAACAATACTTGAAAAAAAAAATTATTTAAAGAAAAACAAACTGTAAGAAATGTAGATCTCATTCAACACAAGTTTAAAAATATATCAGCAGATTAAAGTATTTGCCAGTATTAAAGTTAAAAATTAAATACAAGCATTAAAGATAATTATATATTGGGAATATAAAAGGTTTTTTTTTAGAATATAGTTGTTTTAATATTAAAAATTTTTTTTAAATACATAAAAAATTATGATCTTTTGCTTCTTTAACATTGATTGCTAAATTGTTCTATTTTCGTTTTATCTAAACAAAATATTTCTTTAAACATTTTTTTAATAAATATTTTTATTTCTTAAAACCTCTCATTAAAAAAAGCATTTTTTAAAATGCGTTTTTCTAATGGCGTTGCTTGAACTAATAGAAATACTGATTATGTTTACTATAACAAACATAATAGTTCTATATATTGTATATATATTTCTGCAAATCTTAAAAAATAATTTTAAACTTTAAAAAGGGCAAGCAAAGATAAATTTAACAATAATAAGAAAGTTAAAAAAAAGCACGCTTTTGGAGGAAGCAATGTTTTAGCATGGTTTCTTTTAAAATAATTGCAAATGCATTCATTTTAACTAAAATTTCTGATGCTTTTATAAATGCATATAAAAACCATGCTAAAACATTATTATTTTCTTCAGTTGCATACTTAAAAGTAACGCTAAAATGCTAAAACATTATTATTTTTCTTCAGTTGCGTACTTAAAAGTAACGCTATCAAAAAATTGCTAAAGTTATGCATTCATTTTTTAAAATTTTAAGGGAATGTCAACGTTTGCTTAAGTAAAAGTAAGGAAACGTGACGTTCGTTTTTCTGTCTTTTTTTTTTTACCAAACATTTGCACGTTCATCCATTTGTCGCACCCTAATATATATATAAGTATATAGTTTTATAAATTGTTGACTTTGAGAGTACGGAAGGTAAAAAATGATTCTTTTGAAAACAAATACGTCACTTTTAATTATTTTTGACTTTCATTCAATTTATATATATATATATATATATATATATATATATATATATATATATATATATATATATATATATATATATATATATATATATATATATATATATATATATATATATATATATATATACATATATATATACATATACATATATATATATATATATATATATATATATATATATATATATATATATATATATATATATATATATATATATATATATATATATATATATATATATATATATATATATATATATATATATATATATAATTATGCAATATTGATATATAATTATCAATTCAGGAAACAATGTCAAATAATATCTTGTAAAAATAAGTTTATTATGACACAATAAACTATTTTTCTTATCTTATCATCAAGGAATTTTTGTTGAGTTCTACATTTGCAACTTCCATATGACGCATAAAATAAATTTGAGTTAATAAAAATTATAGAGGTACCAGATATTTTTGCTGGATATTGAACTTTTCTTAAGTTCTATAAGTGTTTATGAAGAAAAAAGTCTTGCCATTCTACATTAAATATGAAGAAAAAAGTCTTGCCATTCTACATTAAATAGTGTTCAATATTTAAAAAAATAAAATCTAGAAAAAACTGGTATAACACAGGTATATGCGTTAATAGTGTAAAAGGAAAAATCATTTTTACAGCCAAATTTTTGTTTTTTTTAATTTCTATTTTCTATACATATCCCATGTCATACAGTTTTTTTTTTGATTTTTTAAAGTAAGATATTGAATACTATTTATTGTAGATTGGCAAGACTTGTTTTTTCTTCATAAACACTTATTGAACTTTAGAAAAGTTCAATATCCGGCATATCCGGCAAAAATATCCGGTATGCCTTTAAAAAAAATTATTAAAAAATGTTTAATTTTCTATACTTCATCTATTATTACTTGATGAAACTGAACAAATAGATTTATTATATTTTCAGAAGTTTCAGGAACTTGCTATCCAGGCTTTAATAGTCTTCTGTTTTAAAAGTTTCAAGAAACTTGTAACCCGGGCTTTAACAGATTTCTGTTTTTAGAACCTGTCACTCTTAACAGATCTGTAAATGTCATAATTTTTAATATCATATTTTTTGTAAAAAAAAGTTTAGACAAAAGTTTATAACTTTTGCCTAAACTTTACTGAGAAAGGTTAAACAGCTTTACTTTTTTTTTTTGTAATAAAACCTTTTGATTTTTTTAGCAATAGGTTTTAGCAAGTAACATGTGATAACTAAATATCTGGACAAAATTAAAAATTATATAACTTTTTAATGGACTGATCAATTTTATTAATTTAAAAAGTATAATGACAAAAAAGTCTAAATATTAGAATTAAATGAATTTTTAAGTTTTTCATGTTATGACAATGAGCAGTGTCCACACTTGTAAATGTTGCGGAAGTTAGCTGGTGTACTTGTTTTATGTCAATTTTCTTGATTAAAAGCTCAATCTGTTTTTTAAATTTATCTAACGGGTGATGTGTAAGTTATTGGACAAAATAAAAGCGTCAATAACTAAATAAATAATTATAAATGAAAAAAAACTATTATTATGTTTATATAAAAAATAATGTATTTATCATTTAATAAAAATATGTTTTTTTTTTTTTAATAAAAAACACCACCATCTGCAATAGATCTCAATTTTGCTCTGACACTTTTCATAAGCAACTGTAAAAAATTTAAATCAATTTCTTTTAGTTGTAATTTAATTTGATCAATTGATTTGAATCAATTTGGGGGATTGGATTCTTTATCAACGTAATAGACATATTAGTTTATCCAGTTTAGAGAATCTTTAGAATAATGAAAACTTGCTAAATCTGGCTAAATAGTTAAAGTCTCCATGATACTTGTGAATGAATGGAAGAAGTCATTTTTCTAAACATTCATCAATATAGATTGATGAATTAATTGCTACAGCCTTGGAAGTGCGAAACGATGGCTTGGGCATACCTCGATCAGATAGAGCTATCCCCATTAGTAATTTTTTTGCAAATTTCTCTCTTCCTATAAAGCAAACATTTTCTGGGCATGTTTTTTTGTTGTTTGTGTAGTATTCAAAATTTCCAAGCATGTTGTCCCCTGAAAAACAAAAGTATTTTTTATCATCAATGACCAGAAGCGATTTTGTGTTATAGAGTTGGTTAACTAGTTTCCTGTTTCTTTTCTTTGCCTTCAATTGTTGTACTATAGTGTATTTTGGAGTCATTTTGCGTTTTCTATATTTAGTATTCATTTTTTTTTGGCGACTAATTGTTTATTGATTTACACCCAATTTAAAACCTATTTTTTTCTGACTGACCCCTTTTCGATTGTTGACAAATCTCGTTAATTCAGCTTTCTTTTCTATAGTCCAGGATGTTGGGCAACCAGGAGGTTTTCAATCTTAGAAAGATTGAAAACCTCCTGGTTGAACTGTTCAATCTTAGAAAGATTGAACAGTTTCAAGTCTTTCTAGGTTATTATATAGTGTATTTCAAGTAAATCCTTCCTTTTCAAAATGATTTACGGTTTCTTTTTTTTTTATATTAGGTTTATTTACAAAAATATATTTTGAGTCGCATTCGAAAAGATTCTTATATAGTTGCATTTAACCTCATTTTAAATATTTGTGTTTTAAATAATAAAGTTTATATTTTATAGAGCGTTTATGCCTACGAATAAAATACAAAAACAAATTATTATGCTCTAATAAGTTCGGATTTGTCCGCTAACTTTCTCATCACCTGTTAGACTTTTAGCTTGCCAATTTTTATTGTACAGCAATCTTTTAAGTTCAGATCAAATATTTTCAATTACTTCTAGTTCTGGCACACTAGCAGTGTTATGCACTTTTGGTACAAATTCAATATTTTAGATAGCCTTGTACTTTACGTGGATAATGTGACGAAGCAAGATCAGGCCAGAAAATGATATTTATTTTTATGATATTTTTCAATGAATTTCTCTAATCTGACAAGACATTTAAAAATATACTCATTTTCAATGACTGTTTGGCCAGGGTGTCCTATTTCTGCCTTTTTTTTAATTTATGAGTTAAACTTTTTATGTGAGGTGCATAATTCTTTATGAGTAAATCAAACAGCAGCCAGGAATCTGGCCCAATCAGCGACACAAAACCAGGAATTTTATTTAGTTCAATTTGTGGAAATATTAGTTTTTCAAGCTTGATTTGTTCATTTCTTTTGATGCTAAACAATTTCAAAGCTGCAGCAGAACGTTCAATTGCAGCAACAGACTCATTAAACAAGATAAATACAACAAACTGTTGGGTTAAATACCAATGATACCTGTAACACGACAGAAGGATAGCAATCTTCTCTTTAAAATGTATTTTTAAGAGAAGATTTCTACATAATAAAGCAATGTCTGAATAGTTTTACCGCTAAGCAACAAAACAAGTTTGCTATCCCAGTGATCTATAAGCTCATTTAAAATGGTGTTAAAAACATCACAGGTTGAGGACAATCCACAAATATTTCAACTTTTGGGAGGTGCAAATATCCTCTTAAAAGACCAACTTTTAGTGAAAGTTTTAAATCAACAGCTAAACTCTTTTCGAGACCAAATCCAATAAATTTGTCTTGATGATCTTTTCTTGTGTATAAAGTTTTTCCCACTCTAGACTTATTCATTTTTTAACTAGTACACTTGAAAGTTTAAAAATGAAATAATACAGTTAGCCTACTGTTAGCCATTCTGATTTATTTGCTTGCTTAAAACTTTGGTAACAATTAGCAGTTAATAACATTATGCTGCTATAATATACATATAGTACATATAGAGTAATAAATTAATAGTATTTTTGATATGCAAGGATATATACAGAAATATTTTATAGGAATTTCCCATAGAACTTCCCAGGGAAATTCTATAGGAAATTTTATGGGAAATTTTATGGGAAGTTCTCCTTAGGTTTGGGAATATCCCATATAATAACCCAGGGAAATTCTATGGCAAATTTAAAAGCAATAAAAATAGAATTTTAATTGCTTTTAAATAAATTCTTATGAAAATGTTGATTTTTAGAAGTTGCTAAAATGACCTGTGCCATCCCTGATTTTTTTTTTTTTTCAGCCTAGTTTTTTTACCTGTAATTAATGAAAAATAGCATACTAAAAGATCTTGAATGAATTTTGAAAAATTGACAGTGAAATCTTGAAAAATGTTAAAAAATAGGCGCGAAAACTACAATTTACTCAAATTAGATAAATGTGCTACCCCTAAATAATGTTTGATTGTCCTAAAATTTAAAAAAAACTATTTTTCAATCATTATGCACCTCACATGAAAGTTTTAAAAGAATTGAAAAAAAGAGTGGAAACGGGACACCCTACTGCTTGGCAGTCATTGAAAATGAGTATATTTTCAATGTGATGCTGAGAGATATCATCAAGAATACAATCCAATTGATTAATTCTGGCTTAAATTTGTCTTTTCTTTTCAACCTTACATCATTTGATGCTCAATTTATGTTAGAAGAGTATAATCCAGCATTTCTAGAAATATTGGTGTTGCTTAAATAAAAATATAATTCTTCATCAATAACAATTATTTTTTTCCAATGAATGGAAACTAATATACAGCTTTTCAAATGAACAGCTGCTTTTTGTGCGGGTGTTCTTATAGGTGTTCTAGTTTTTTATCATAACAAATACTAGTATTTTTATTGATAATTAGATACAGTTGTGATACATTGAATTGTTTTTACCACACTGTGAAATATCATTCATTTGACCAATCAATATTTTAAGACTATGATTTTTAGATATATTTTTTGCTTTGTGACCACTTCTAACTGTTCTTTTTGGTCCTATATTGTTATCTTTTCTTTTTAGTATACTATACCTTTTAGAGAAAGTTTTCATCATGCTTTTTTTTATTTTTAAATATAACTAAATTGTTATATTTAGAGTTATACATATAAAGAGTTAAATTCCTAACTAAATAGGTGCAAGTTTATTAAGTTTTTCTTCATATTTTTATAATTAATAAAACTTTGTCCAGATTTTTAGTTATCACATGTTAGTAGAGAATTATAAACAGTTTAAATTTTTTTTTTTAGGTTAAAGAATTTTCCTGATTCTTAACAATTTTTAATTGATGCACAGCAATAGACAATGAATTAAAATTAACTTTCATGAAAGCCTGTTACTGCTTATTCTGATAAAAACTACTTATGTTTGATGAGAGCAATTCAAAGACTAAATGCAAATAGTCAGGAAGTTTGGATGAATGGCATTTATTCAATATTCAAAATGTAAGAAGTATAGAAAGAACAATGATCGAATCATTCTAAAAGTTTTTGGGACAGTTTAGTTGTATTATTTTTAAATCCTGCGAAAAATGTAAAATTATTTTTGAAAATAAATATTATTTATTTTTATAATTGATGTTTTTTTTTTTAAATACGTATGGTTATAGGTTATTTGGTGACCAATATAAATTATTTAATGTTGATTTTATTTAGTTTGCTCAGCAACCAATTTGAATTTGACAATGTTTGTCTCATTTATGAAAAATAACAAAAAAATGCTTAAGTTTTAACCACATTATATCATAAGTTTTTATTTTTAATGCTTGCACAAAGCTATTAGTCATAGGTTGTTTGATCAATGTATTGGCAATAAATTTTTTTATTTTTAGCATATTGTATAGTATAGCTCAATATATTCTATAATAATATGAAGAAATATATTAATTGAACAAAATAATATAAAGTCTATTATAACTTTTTTAAAAGAAACAATGTTCATTATAGGTGGTATAGAATTTAACTTAAAAATATTAAATGGTTGCAAACCATTCAATTCAAAATACAGATGAGGATGATGTAGAATTTTATGAAGGTTTTTTTATAATAATCTTTTTGTAATTATACATTATTAAAAAATTAATACATTAATAATTATTAAAAAATGTTTTTGTGATTATAAAATAATAATCTTTTAAATTAGTTTAAAATTTTTTTTTTTTTAAAACTAATTTAACTTCTATTTTAAGGAGAGCATAATAAAAATGGTCAACGACATGGTAGAGGGACACTATTTTTAAATTCAAAAAGAACTGTAAAATTTCATGGGAAATTTCAGCATGGTATGAATTAATCTAAAATTTTAATTACATATATTACACATTGAAAATATATATAATAGTTGAATTTACAAGTATTAGACTTTAGTATGTATTTAAATGTTATATATATATATATATATATATATATATATATATATATATATATATATATATATATATATGTATATATATATATATATATATATATATATATATATATATATATATATATATATATATATATATATATAACATTTAAATACATATACTATATTTCACTGGATATACTCAATGGCGATAAATGGTGCTAAAAAATGCACTATATGGTGAATATGCTCAAAGAAGTAATTAAAAGATAAGTGAAGTTGTTATGGCGCAAAAAAAAATTTTTTGTGTAAAAAACTGCTGTCGCCTTATAGTAGAACTTTCGCGCATGTCTCCGCAAAGTAAGTCTTGGAGATTATGTATATATATATATATATATATATATATATATATATATATATATATATATATATATATATATATATATATATATATATATATCTCCTTGACTCTACTCATAGAATTTTGCTTATGCCTCCTTGATAATGGCTATGCAACTCTTCCTGTTATCTCCATATGAGGGTACAGCTCTAAAACTCAGTTTAATGGTTCTGAGGCCGGCTGGTAGTAAGGTTTCCCGAACTCTGTGGTAGCTCTCAGAGAGGCTGATTCCATCAACAGCTGCAAAATATCAGAGTATTAACAGTGCCATGTTGCGCATGGATGGTGTCCCTGTTAATGCTTTTGGTGTGCATTGTCAAGGCCACATAAGGAGCCCTATGTCACGGCTTAGGTTTAATTAACAGGAGACAACTGCATAGCTCATTGATTAGGAGGCTGTGCTCTATCTATGAATGAGTCAAGTTCTCATTAAACCCAAATCATGACCAAAGTAACCAAAAATTTAAAACCTAAAAAACCATCCCCACCACCTAAATATTTTAATATATCTTTTACAAATATTCGCGGTCTACGAAGCAACTTTCCATCAGTTGAGTCTTACCTCCTGCAAAATTCACCAGACTTGCTTGCACTCTGTGAAACAAATTTAAATTCTGCAATTCCTTCTTCAGATGTCAGTGTTGATGGTTGAATAGTCACATGCTAGGTTTAGGGGTATATATACGCATTAATTCCCCTATTTGTCGTGAAATCAGGTTCGAATCCTTTGACCATTCTTTTATGTGCTTTCGCCTAGCACCTCTTCACTCTATCACCTTTCTCTTTGTTCTTTATCGTTCTCCTTCTTCCCATGATTGCACTCTTTTAGATGTTATCTCTGATCAAATTGACCATGCCCTCTCTCTTTACCCCTCTGCCAATATTGTTGTTGTTGGTGATTTTAATGCCCATCACACTGAATGGCTTGGCTCTAACACCACTGATCCTGCTGGCACTAAAGCCTTTAACTTCTGCGTTTCTCAATCTCTTACTCAGATAGTTAACTTTGTGACTCGTTTTCCTGACAACCCTAATCATTTACCTTCACTCCTTGACTTATGTCTTGTCTCTGACCCTAGCTTATGTTCAGTTTCTCCCTTTTCTCCCTTGGGTGGTTCTGACCATGCAATGATCTCTATAAATCTTTCTTCTCGTACTTCTTTTTTGGGCTCACCTTATCATCGCACCACCTACTACTACCCTAAAGCTGACTGGGATTCCTTTCGTGATTTTCTTCATGATGGTCCTTGGGCTAATGTTTTTTCTCTCTCAGCTGACAAATGCGCCACCTACGTAACCTCCTGGATTCAGGCTGTAATGGAAGCTTTTATTCCTTCTCATCGGTTTCAAGTCAAGCCTCATTCTACTCCATGGTTTTCTCCTTCTTGTGCGGCTGCTATATCCAATCGTAATCATTTTTTTTTATCTTTTTCAAAAGAGCAACTCTCTTGAGAACAAACGGCTATTTATTATTGCAAGAAATCGATGTAAAAAGGTGCTTTCTGATGCTAAACTCCATTATTCTAAGTTCACTAAATCTCGCATCTTATCGCAGAAGTTAGGCTCTAAAGACTTTTGGAAAATCTTCAACAGCATTGTTAACAAGGGTAGATCTAACATTCCATCTCTCATTCATGGGACTGATCTTGTTACCTCTCCCAGAATATTCCCAAAATAAAAAAAAAAAAAAAATTCCACTCTTGAATCTTATGGACATTCTCTTCCTTCCATTCCAGTCAAACAGGTTGACCCATTGTTAGACATTCAAATCACTCTGGCTTCTGTTGCTAAAGTCATATCTCAATTAAACTCGTCTACAGCTTGTGGTCCAGACAACATTCCTGTCACAGTCTTGCAGAATTGTTCTCCAGAACTTTCTTCAATTCTTTCTAAACTATTTAACAAGTGTTTGACTGAGTCTTGTTTTCCTGCTTGTTGGAAAACGGCATCTGTGGTTCCAATATTCAAAAACTCTGGAGAAAATTCTGACCCCTCCAATTATCATCCAATCAGTCTTCTTTCTGTTATTAGCAAG